TTATATCATTGTAATATTCTCATCAATACTTACAAAATAAGTTCATTATTGAATATTTTGGATTTTAATAATATTATAAAATATCTTAAATACGTATGAATCCATACCATATTATAAAATACTTTAAATGGTTGTATATTATAAAAAGACCCTTCTTTGGACACAACTTGAGAAAACTAAAGAAATGTACAAATTATGTCTCTATAAGAACAAGTTACAATAAACATTGGTAATTTGATTTTTTTGTTTTTGGATTAACAAAAGTTGGTATTCATTTAAGGTTCTGATTGAGACATATGTTCCAGGAGTCACCAAACTATCCCAGTATATCCCACTCGGTGGTGGAGTCGGAGCGGGGAGGGGTCGGGCAAAAACCCTCGACTCTCGAAAAAAGTGTGAGAATAAAAAGATTGTATCTGGGTCATAAGTGGTATTCTCAATGTTGCATTGCGAAACCTTCACGTATAAAGAGTTGTACTTAGAATCTCCGTCACCACTAGGCCTGTGGAGTGTGTCCCTGTACTATTTGAAGAGAAGTTCAAAGAGATGCATGGTGTTACCTCTTTTAAACTTTTGGACAGTTTTGATTGCTTAACTTTTTTTGTCATACAAAATATTGCATAAATTTTGAGCAAGCAAAAGTTTGTGATATTATTTTGGATGTTATTAAAATCAAACTAAACAAACCAACCCAATATATAGTTGTATGTTGACTTTCTTTCTACGTAGACCAATATAGATCTTATTGCAAGGTCTGAATGTTGAAAATATCAGACCTGAAAGTTGCATGTGTATTCAAATTTCTTTTTATAAAGATTGACATCTATTGTAAAAATCTTGCTTGAAAAATCAAATGGTTATAATCTTGACTGCTCAAAAACTCGATTCTTTTGACTGAAAGCCAATAACTTGGATTATCTGGTTGAAATGGTGAAGGAAGAGAAACTTAAACCTATAATTGACTTGACCCAAAATGCTTGGACCAAGAGCATCATGTTCTTATATATACATGCATGTCTATTGTAAACTTACTTTTTTAACTATTTTACAATTGTTGTTTTATTTTTATTTTTCTAATAGAGTTATATAAGTAGTGTTTTTTTTATGGAAAAGTATTATTTATGTTAATTGATTCCCATTTTATAAAATAAAAAAGTATCGACACATTTAAATCAAAAACATGCGTTAAAGTATTTACAATGAATATCACTATGTTTTATTAAGAAAAACTTTTTTGACATATTCCTATCACTTGATGCAATGCTAGCATCTGAGAAGGTCATTGAAAATAATTCATCTATAAATCACAAAATTCACCTCCAAAATCATGGTAGCAACCAAAACTAAAATTTTCAACTTGCATTTTATTTTTGAATTAAAAAAACTTTAATAACCACTGTAATTTTAGTCATGGTGTCTACGTCAACTTGTTTGTATCCCAATTAGTCTCAAGAGTTTTGAAAAAATTAGAATCGATAAATATAAGGAAGATCCCGTAACAACATCATCTACCAATCATTTCATACAAGAAAACATGTTTTTCACAACCATAACATCAATTAATTTTTCATTCTTTCTCACATTCTACATAAAAATGCAAAATGGATCCACATATATTTTATTTGGTAAAAACCTATTTATATATATATATATATATATATATATATACACTATTCTAATGATAAAATATTAATCTAATAATAATATAATAAATATATTAATATAAATATATGATCTGTTTAATTTTCAACTACAAAATGAACAAGAAATTAAAGAGAGTTAACAGAGGCTCAGCTCGAAACAAAATGCAATCCACGGGACCCCAATGTACTTAATTTTAAAAGAGGGACCACATTCAGATTCTGGCTTACAAGTGTACGAGAAGTGAATTCATTCATGATATCATATGGTTAAATATTACAACTAGTAATATTCTACAAAAACAAGCCAAAAAACTCTGCAAATTCCCGGCTTAATGAAGCAAAATCCGATCTCCGAAAAGGATAGTTGATACTCTAATCTACACATTATCTACCCAGAAAAATGGCTACTCCAAGTACGTTACCAAAACTCTCGGAAAAGGCCGAGCCCTATATTCTGTTGTAAGTATGCAAGTTTTTGCGATTGTTGACGTAGGTATTTATCTAACAGAATGTGAAGATACACTTATCTGACGTCACCATCCTTTTTGCCGGGACAGTACCAACAACCCTCTCCAGCTGAACACAACAGCCATCACAAGAAAAGAAAATAAGTGTTCATATTTCTATTTAAGTATGTTATTTTCAAAAATAGATGGTGATAATGTACTAAATTTCCACCTATAACCTTTAATTCTGACGCACGAATATTTAAGTGTAATTGATAAACATTTCTTAAACTGTATTCTTTATCATAGACATTTATTTTGAGACGGATGGGGGTAATAGCACGACAAGGGTGTAGCAAAAAATGGTTACCCGGAGAAGATCAAAGCGAGAGAAGAGCACTGTGCAGTTCATGCTATGTGATCCTTCAAGCATATTCACAATCTGCAGTTACACAAACAAAAAAAACAACGTTATTCATAACGAGAGTTATCCTTTTTATTCATTTTATCCTTTTTTCCTTAGCGATTCAAAATTCTCACAAAACAAAGAATTATGGTTAGAAGACCATGCCTCAGGGTAGAACTCTTTCCTCTCAGGAAGAGAATAAATTATCAAATTCTGAATTCCGCGAATCTGTGTTTACAAACAAGGTATTTGTCAAGAAATCTTGCATCAAGTATCTTAAAATCAAATATCATGCCTCTGACCAATTAGGCAGACAATGAAAATTTGTTTTTACCTTGTATCGATGGTAGAAGTGGGCTCTCTCGGTGTACAGCATGATCTTCCGCTTTCCTTGAAAGAACCAAACTCGTGAACGAGATATATCACTCTGTTTTGTGTACCTAGAGAGTCACAGAATGATCTTCAGAAACAATATATACAAAGGATTTGATGAAATAAGATAGAAGAAAAACAAATTCTCACTCTCCAAGTAGACACATGGATGCATCTTGTGACTTCAAGAAGTTTCGTACCCGAACAAACTCAAAGTAAGAACTAATAAAGATCATAATTCCACCCTGCATCAAAATGAGGATTTAGGCACCCACCAGAAACTGAAAGTATTTCCTTTAGTTGATTAGCATTTCTTTAAATAATACCTGGACAGAATCTTTAATTTTCGGGAAGACCTACAACAAGAAACATGTCAAATGTACATATTATGATGAAACAAAAGGTTTTTTTCTGATATATATATATATATATATATATATATATATATACATATCAAATAATACCAGGAGGCTCCTTGGCTTTAAAAGGGTTAGGAGGGTAAGCCTTTACATGCAATATTTCCCTAAAATAACATGGATTCGGACCTAACCCCTGGAGCTGATAGAGATGCATTATTAAATGAAGAAACTGGAAAGGCGAATGAACCATCATACCTTTTTCTTGAAGTAATCAAGGCGGGCATCATCAGCATCCACTATAGATTCGGTATCAATACGCTCGTAGATCTGCATGTCAAATGGCAAGAACAAACAAGTAATAGTAAGAACTCGTCCCTACCAAAAAGGTCTTGCAAGTCACTCACCGTATCAACAAAAGCTAATGAAATCCATAATGTAGGATTAATGATTTACAGGGAGTTCTGAAACACAAACCTGCCTCACTTGAAGCAAAACTTTTGGAAGAACGCCTTTGTGCTCGAATGACAGTTTTACCTGCAAATTGAAGTTTCAAACCTTCAGTAGTAAACGAGAATACAATTAAGTGCACACCTGCTTCTGTTAAGTGAAAAAATCATAGTGATGGAGGAAAGGTTTGGTGGAACTGGAAACTACAAATAAATATTTACTCACCCTTCCTTCATAGTTGAGGCAGTGGTTGTTGAACAAAGCATTAATATCTGGTAAAAGAAAAATAAATTCAAATATCATAATACATAGAATAAATAAATGATACTGCATACATCAAGTCCTAAATGTTTTAGAGCAACGATAATACCAACCTTAAGCGATGTATTCTAAGTTTTTTTATTCAACACTTAAACGACAACGTTATCAATTGCAAATTGTTCATCCAAGCAGCAAAAAATAATGTGATTAATAGATCAAAGTCATCAGTGAGCTCCATTTTTGTCAAACATAAGCTTAGTAAGAATGACGGAACGTATAGCGAGTGATAGAACAATGCAAATTATTCGTCTTGTAAAATATGGAATTTGTGGGTGCGGTAATTCACCCAAACCCACTTAGTGAAGTGCGATAAGCAAGTTGTAAGAGGCTCAAAAAACAATTGGTTTCAAACAGAGCTTGTGCAATACAACTTTTGGAGGACCCGTCACATGTATGTACATGCATAGATAAAGTTGAATTAAATACACAGAATAAATTCATTGATGAACATCATTAGTCTATTCTCAGCCCATTGTCTGCTACGTATTTTATTTATTATGGCTTCTGCATCAAAATACATGATTGAATTACAACACCAAGTTTAGAAAGACAATATATGTAGGATGGCCACATATTTGAAGTGCTTCATTCCATTCTTGGACTCAAACATTACTAAGGCTTGAACCTGAACTTAATGATAAACAAACAAGCCAAGCCCTTCAAGAAACAGGGCAGGTTGTATCTCACCGGCACAGCCATATGGTAAACAACAGTTAACTTAAGTTCCCCCTTCCAAAGGGCCTATTGATACCGGTAAATTGGTACATGATAAGACTTACAAATATACTAGAGTATTGAACTCGTTTATCTATATACCACTTCAAGCATGTAACAACTTCAACACATTTACTTTTCCAAAAAAACCTTCAACATAATTAAGAAATAAAAAAACACAATGGCAAAACAGGTAAAAGACTAAAAGATATCTCCTTGGTACCAATGTAAGGATCTTACCTGGATTTACATGAGATCCTAAAATGATTGTTTGCCTATAAAACCGAGCTTGTCCATCAAGGTACCTATGCATTGAGACAGCTTAAGAATACATGCTGAAATGATACTTAAGACCTTCAAGCTTGTAATATAAATTTAAGCTACTGAGTTAACTAAATATACAAGACAAAAAGGTATTTCCCTAGATAATGCGAAAGAAAAGACAGGGAGAGGGAAGGGGCGGAGCCAGGATCTTTGATCAGGGTGGTCCTCTTAAATGTAATTATTTATAGATATTATATTGATGAAGTGATCCATCACAATGTATGTATTATATAATTGGAACATTGACGAGTTTTCATTTTCTGAATACAATGATATTTTTGTTTAATGTCGACAAAAACATCATTTTCAGTATAACTAACCGAATATGTATATTAATTTTTAAAAGCTACAACGTCAAGTTTATATCTAATAAAAAAAAAGATATAAAAAAACTTCAGAAAAAAAATACCATCAAATAAAGACACCTCCCGATCAAAGATTCTTCACGGTGCATAAGAGACCTTTTTAAAAAGTTGAGGGTGAGCCCAGGATCACCCTGGGCCAAGGTTGGGACACTCAAGACCGGTCAAAGTTGTCAGCCACCTATGCTTCCATGCAATGTTCTTGGGTGAAGTTTAGCATAGTTTTTGTGTTCAAAGCAGAAAATCTTGAGAATTAGTTATGCCAAAAGTAAGTTTCCTAGAAGCAGCTTTCCTTTGAATGCCTTCATTAAATTCTAGCAATTCTTTTGGGGGGTTGGGAATGGTAAAGGTAGATGCTGTGGTTACATCAGGTACAGAAATACAAGGATGATTCTTGCACCAAGATATCATAATGAATTTGTTTTTACCCAACACCAACTAGCTTAAGATATAACGATGCTTGTAATAGCAAACATACCAATTTGAAGATTTGCATACTGTCACAAGTATTGGGGAGGGAAGTGATATGCATTCATGCACGTATTTTTGTCTTTTTCATTAGGAGATGGGTAAACAAAAGAAAGAAGGAACAAAACAATGAGATTGATGATTGATTATGGACATAACACATACAAAAAACCTAAAATATCAAAAGAAAACAACCACATTCCATTGGTTTCATCTTTCATGGACAACAAAGTTTAAGAGAACGACCTAGTATCACATTAGAGAGAAATACCATGGTCTTATGCGCATTATATCAGTTCCATGCTGCTTTGAGGGTATGCTATTCAACTGCTCAACAACAGTATTCACATGGGACCAATTCTGCACAAGTGATCTTGGAATCGTTAATGAAAAGAGAACAATGTATCAAATGGAAATTTTATCCTTGCAGTTTACCTGCATCGCTATGACATCTGCATGATCAACAATCAGCACCTATACACAAAAGCTCCTTCCATTAGCTGGGACAAAACAAGTCGGTGGTGTATGTGTGTTTCAACGTATAAAAGAAGTCGGGGTAATAAGCAACCAAATATAAACACTATAAGACCATTACAGCAAGAAAAATTACCTCGATAGAAGACAGATAATCCACATCTTTTTCCTTTTCCACTTCAGCCTCCCCAATTTTCTAGAAGAAACAAATCAAAGATTCGCATTTAGCCCGATAATAAAAGATAACATTAAATGAAAACATATGAATAAGATCCAGTAAACTCAGTTTTTAAAATATAATACACAGTAATTTGAAAACCAATACCAACTTTCATATAATGTGATAAGGTCATGCAAATTCACATAATTGGAAAAGTCAGAAGCACGGTAAAGGCACAGATTTCTTCATTATTGAGAATCTAATTAAGCCTTCTAAATCTACCGTCATTGCTTTCTGCTCTCGAATCCGAAGGCTAACCAAAACTGTTTATTGAGAGAAAAGAGAAAAATGAACCAACATAACAAATTGCACTTCGGACTCCTTCAAAAGACACGCCAATTATAATCGTCCTCTAAACATTAATGGGGCCGGAAGTTGGATTTCAGTAGGAATACTAAATCACCTAATACAGAAGATCCCTAATTGTTTCCTGCCAAATTACTAAATACAAATTTTGCCTAGATACGTATATACCATTCTGGTCCTCCCAAAAGCAACTTTCCCTGGGAGATCATCTTTTCTAATCGTATCCCCTTCTCTTGCACATAACCACCTCCATGTTCATCTTTCTGCTACACTCATCTGCTGTGCGTCCTATCTCTTGGCATCCAACATTTTGACTGATAAATCACAAGTAGGATTCACCACAATCTTTGAAACCTATGTTAGATTACAAAATCAAAAAGGGTTGATGTGTTTTGCATATTCATCCACCTTACTCTAATCCTATGACTACAATTATTCCTCATATATTCTTACCATGTAATATTACTTCAATGCCACATTAACCCCTCTGTGCTCCACGCCAAAAATTGTATTGCTTCAACAAATCTTAGCCATCATCTCAAAGCAAGTAGGCGCAAAAGTATATCAAATCTTTTGGGATTAATAACTTGTTACTAAAGTCTGATGTTAGTACTAGAGCATAATATGACATAATAAGATTCCAAGATTTGACAGGAGAAAAGAGTTATTTTAAAAGAGTACTCACGGTGATCAAACCAAGAGGAGAAGCAACAATCATGTCTGAGGTATAAAAGTCACTGTACAACTTTATGGTCTTCCTACAAAATAAACAAGGATGTCAAAGATTAAAGCACTAATAAATTGAGAAATTTGATAAAACAAAAACAATATATCCCATAACATCCCACCTGGAGGTAGGGTTTCTCTTGTTATTTTTTTTTTTTTTTTGGGGGGGGGGGGGGGGGGGGAGGTTTGCAGACCTTAAATCTATCCCTAGGGATAGAGTCCCCCAGCTAGCGGAGGAAAATGGCGCTAAAAAGGAACAAGAGTTATGGCACATACAACAAATTGCATCAACTTAAACATCATATAAATGAAATTGTTGTTGACACTGAGATCAACTCGCGATTAATTATGTAAAGACTGCACAGAAAACGTTGTCACTTTTGCAGTTGTACTTGACCTTCGCAATGCATATCAAAGTATTTCTGAATCTCAGCAAAATAAAAACATTGCTGGCATTTAAGTATGCAACAAGGAAAAGGCAAAACCAAAATTAACACTCGAAGCAACAAGAAAAAAAGAGGGAAAAAAAGTTTATTGACCAATGGTTTCAGATGAGTTCTCAACATGAGATCAAATAGTTGAATATCCTGAGGTACTCAGAATTTAATCAAAACAATCAGATCTATCACAGGACAGAGAGAGAGGACAAAATCTTCCATGTATCATGATCTTACACTGCATGTTCAATACCAAATTTTATGAACTCCGAAAGTAATAGGCGCTATAATGTATTTTGGTCAAAATGCTTAGGTCTATCATACTGATGGATGAAAAAGAAAAATGATCATGTATCATGAATTCATGATCCTAACTAAACCGCACATTTAGCTCAATTTCTAGTTTCAAAGAACTCAAAATAATAAGTAACTTGCGAATCAATCAGAATCCCTTACGATTGTTATAAAATGGCATCCCGAGTTTTCAGAAGTGGGCAAGTAAAAAATAAATCCTTAGTTGTGTGCAACTAAACGAGTTTACTAGAGAGAGAGAGAGCAAAAAAAATCGAATAGAAGCTGATAAAATATCAAACATCCAACTGATAGTTACTGAAGTACTCAACCAACTGCAAAGACACTTTTTTTGCTTTTATTTTTAACCATTAGTTATTGCATTTTGGCCAGAAACATTTTAAGAAAATCAGACTATCAGAAGACTCGACAGTGCACAGAGTCGCATATTATAGGCATCAGCACTGATAGTGGTGCGAACAATTTTAACCACACAAGGTTAACATGAGATGCTAGTTCGATAACAAAGGTGATATTATAGTCTTTGGATGCAACCAAATCAAGGACATAAATTACTTGGTAAACTTGATGCCGATCATGAAATGATCGTTGTTATTCCCTCCAAAGAGTGCCTGGAAGTCTGATGGCTTTGAGGTTTTCCATGACTTGGAGATACCATCCTCATCCTGCTGTTCATCAGATCGTCCAGGGCCAAACCCATCAGAGAAGCGATCAATGTGCTCTACATTAACCTGTCAAAACGAAGAAAAAAGAATCATCTTCGGATGATTTTCTTTGTCCACTGTGCCATTGCATGTACACATCTTCCCTTTATAGCCATGACAAATTATTCATTACTAAGATTTACACTTGCCTTATGCCCTGCCGGGGTCAACTGAATCAGCCTCTTAACTACTCGGTATGCAATGCTTGCCATTGGTAATAAGATCAATACCTAAAATTGATCATAAACATTATAGCTCAATGCTTGACACAGTAAATGTAATACATCATAAGTGAAACTAAAAATGTCATATGAATTTTTTATATTCTATATAGCAGAAATAATATAATTCACTAAACATGTCCACAATGCACAAGTGATTCAAGATGAAAATTTGTTCATAATTAAATACAAACATTATCATCTGGCTTGTAGTATGTACAGGATCGCTTATGCAGAACAAAAACAACAATATTAACTCTAGCATGGTATAAAACAAGCATAGTGAGCTTGGTTTTGTAGTGTTAGGTATGCAGACAAGATTGAACAAGACAAGAGAACAGGACCGGACAAGACAAGTTGTCTGTCCGGTATTTGGTATGACCAGGACTGCACACGACTGGTCTGGACTAGTTCCCCTTGCCCCTAAATGTTGCTTAATGATGTTTTATATGATATAATAGTAATAAGTGACACCAATCAAGTAAATATATAAATAATATAATTTATAAACATTTTTTCACAATTTTCGTATACATACATACATATGTACATACATGGATATATCTAATAGTACTAAATTTGAATGAAGAATCCGATATAACTGATGGTAATTCGAATGAACTTGGTTTGTACAAGGGAAAAAGATTTGGAAGGTTCTTATGAATTGGCAGAGGTGACGACCGTGGTCGCCGGCGGTTACGGAGGTTGCAGCGACAGTGGTGGTTGCGGCGGTCGGAGGTGGTGATGGTGGTTGAGGTAGAGGCAGTGGTGATTGATATGATGGTTACTGGAGGTAGCAGTAGTTGAGATGGAGGTGGCGGATGTAATGGAGGTAGAGGTGGTGGTGGGCAGTAGTGGTGGTAGCCAAGGTTTTAAAAGGTGGAATCGGGTCTTAAGGTGTTTTCCCTCAAGAAGGCAAGTGTAAGCCTTGAGGCGGTCCAGGGCGTAAGCATGAGGCGGAAATATATATACACCAAAATATGTATATGTACTATACAAATATATATACATTTGTATGTATATTTTATATATACAATACTAAATTACTAAGTGGCGCTGGCTCAGTGGTTCTTGACAAAGGAAAGAATGAAACCGTGAGATAAGCGGCGAAGGTGTAGAAAAATTGGTTGCTTGTAAGAAGAGGAAGGGTTGAACCACTTTTTTGATTGAGAAGAGAAAGTACTAGCTTTTTGGGTTTTAAAATATTACAAGTATACATTGGGTCCATTGAGCTTTGACTTCTAGTTCTCTAAAATAGAAAAACTTATACTACAAATAGAAGTATTACTACTGCCATAAAACTTATAAAAAGAAGTCCAAAAGAGCCATTACCAAAGCATATCATTTCAGGCGTATACCTCGACATCGCCTCGCACCTCACCGAACCGCCTCATTGAACCAAGGCGTAAGCCTCGTCCCGGATCCAAGAGGTGCCGCCTCAAGTACGGTTCTGGACCGCCTTGCCTCGAGGCAAAAGCCTCAAATGATTTTTAAAACCATGGTGGTAGTCGATCGTGGTGGAGGTGGTCGCTGGCGGTGGTGGTGGTGGTGGTGACAATGAGCAGTGGTGGTCGGTGGCCTATGGTGGTTGTGATGGAGGTTGTGCTTGTGGTTGTGGAGGACCTGGATATGGTGGATGGTGATGGTGGTGGTGGTGGTGATGGTGGTGGTGGCGGCGGCGGTTGCTGAGATGGTGGATACAGAGGTTGAGGTGGAATTGGTGGTTGTGGAGGAGAAGGTGGTGGTGGTGTGCGGTGGTAGTGGTAGCCGATTGTGGTGAAGGTGAGCAGTGAAGGTGGGCGCAGATGGTGGTCGACAGAGTTTGGTGGTAGCCAATGGTGGTGGTGACCATTAAACCAAATACCATATGAGGGTTAAATCAAATGGGGGTAGATTGATAATTTTTAGTTTTGTCCCATCCTTGTGATTTTTGTTCCACCTATTTTGGTAGAACAAAAGAAGTCTTTTTTGTCCCATCCAATCCCACCTCCTGTCTTAGTCCAATGTCGCGCCAAACGTGGGACATTTAGTTTGTGTCCTGCAGGGACATTGAGTTTTGTCTTGTCTTGTCCTGTCCCATGTACCAAAAGCAGCCCTAAGGAACCGGATATGCCTTGCAACTAGAAGTTTACATGTATTCTTTAGTGTCCCTCTAGGAAGAATAATGTACACAAGTTGATTAAGATGCAGGAAAGGACTATTAGGGACGTAAATCATATCAAATGCAATGAGATTTCTATGATTCTCACGGGAAGTAATGGCCAACATAAAATAGCATGCGCAAATGATAAGTGTAGCGGAAATGTACTACTGAACAAGATGTGGAACGAAATGTAGTACTAAAAATCACAGTATACAAAAAAGGTTGGGGTGGCACGCGTTAAAGAGAAGCTTAAGAAAACTCTGGTTGAGATGGTTAGGTCATGCAAATTGCAAGGTGTTGGAAAAGATAGAAGTATGCAAAGATTGGCAGGCAAGAAGAATTGTAATCGACATAAAAACCAATGATATATTACCTTAGGACGAGTGAATCCCTGGTCAAGGAAATTCTCGCTGTCTAAAATTTCCTCATGCTTAGCCTCTTTACGAGTAGCCAGCTTTTTGTCATTCTTTGTCACAAGATCTCTTGTTTTAAACACATGATTTAGCTACAAAAATGAAAAAGAATCCTTTGGTCACCCTTCCAATATATAAACAAGCAATGTTTCATTTGTGAGTTTGTGAAAGTATTGGATATGAACATAAAAATGTACACACCGAGTGCAACAAATAGGCATCCATGATACTTGAGTCTTCTTCCCTGCCTTTAAGATAAAATGGCTTTTTGTTGTGGTGCAATATATCCCGATAGCTGTTGCCTGTATAAATAAGTTGGAAAGATGTAAGGGAGTAGAGTTATATAATGCTCAACATATCCAATAGTTGTTGCCTACATTTGTGAACACTTTGGTGTGTATAAGCTTTCATGAGGAACATGGAGCCACAACTAATAGGAAGAAAGAAAAAGCTCATAACAGCAAGAACTTTAAGATTGTTTTCTCCCTCAAGAAAACCAATAAATACCAAAAACCGTATGGTGGTGCCATAACCAACTTTTGTGTATGTGGTGAGCCAGTTTTCGTAAATTTTCAATCAAACACATCAACTCTATTGTTAAAAAAAGAAAAAGAAAGAATACATGACTAGACCAAGGACCCAACAAAAGATTTGTTTCCAAGTGCCCTTTTATCATTCACTTACAAAGAGAGAAGAATGATCTCTGTCTTGATGAATGAAGATCATGCCCTCCAGACGCCTCATAATTATTCAACCAATGGTCATATAACTTCAGATTTAGACCATAAGGAGAATTCATGTAGGAATCCTGCAAAGATAATAAAGATCTAAGAAAACTCTTACGGATTTAACAGAGCATGATCTGTCTATCACAATATCCTCTGAAAAGTAAAAATAAATCTTTGTTCAAGTGATCCTATAAAATCTAAATTCTTACTCACAGCTTATGCATTATTTCACAACTAAATTGTTCAAGAATAAATAAGCCATTAAGCTTGCATAAGTTGCATAGGTCCAACAAATGAGATCAGAGAAACTAGATAGGAAATAGAAGCTCGATGTTAAAAGGATTATAGTTTTATCTCACATCTAAAACATCAAATCAGAAAATAATTACTTCCTTTAAATTACGCGAATGATTGAGTAGAAGATGATCTAAAGCACGTTTAATGTAAAACGTTGCATAAATACCAGAATACCTCTAAAATCAGCTCTCTAGTTGCCACCCACTTGCAGTTAGCTGCATCAACCTCCCATTTATATTTCCCTTTTTTTCTTGAAAGAATTTCAACCTCATCTTTCAATAGTTTATAGTCCAGGTGAGCAGAAAATGAACTGCATAAAGATTCACAATAAAATTAAAATTAAAATTAAAATATACAATTCTCATCCATTGATTACAATCATAAATTCCTTAATTGGTATCAGTATGTGGGTGGGATTCCCACTTTCTTAATCCAACAGTAACACATTTATTTTATCTTTGTAGCTCAGAAAGTGAGGAATTTCTGAAGTGGTTGCTTCCACCAGAATTCATCTGAAAAAGCCAAGATTTAGAACTTTTTGGAAATTGGGACCAGAAAGGAATTCCCATTTGCACAGCCCTTCACACACCAATCACAATGCAAACTCCAACTACGGATACTCTAATTGGAAGTATATTCAAACACACCAACCAACTTACAACCAATTGTTTGTTCAAGTTCACAATCTCATACATATTCCTCAAGAGTAAAACTAGCAAATACAACATTCCCGTTTATCAATAATGCAATTCCGACAAAAACCAGATGTGGGTGTATCAGCTCATTATCTCAAGGCACTTGGTTTAGGTTATAGTCTAAATAGGTTTTCAGCCTCCAAATGAAATGACATGCAAGACCAAACGGAGTAACCTTCCTCTAATCCGAAGTGTCAATTAATAAACCTTTACATCTCTTCATGGAGAAGAGGATGAAGCTTTTCAGGTTATGATTCTAATTACATATATGTTATGACTGGGCACTTACTAACTAAATAGGAAATTCATGTTAAGCTTTGATGCTGCCTAGACAGCATTATGCTTTTACTAGCAATCACTCTTAAGCCTTGTCCCCATTGATCGGTCCAAGCAAAAGGGTGGTATAAGGTGGCATATACCCACCACCCAAAAAGAACTCTTTAAAGCAAATTAATTGTCTTTATTTATTCTGCAGGCCATGGCTAACCTCGCCACATCAAAAAATTTCTTGCGAGCAAGTCAGGGACGGACCCAGAAATTTTTTTAAACGGTAGCACCACTTGACCATAAGAAAAAAAATATAGGAAATTTTTTTCAAACGATGCCACCGTTTGACTAAGAAAATGACACTAACATGATTCAAACTTGGTTGTGGGGTAGAATAAAAGCCTTGAAAACCAACTCTACCAAATAAAACTTGTTCTCATTGTAGTTTCAAAATACATACGGTGGCACACAACAAATTAATACGATTGCACCGTTCACGAAATGACAAAACCACAAGAATGATTTTTGTACTTATCAAAAAATGAAGTTCCACTTCAAAGTTTTCAACTAAACCTTAAGGACCAATATAGAAATATACTCTAATCTAAACTAGAAGTTCGGTAGCAACACGTGGCTGCCTCATGTGGTATTTGTCACTCAATTCCCTAAAACCGTTGGCAGCCCCCTGTTTATAACCTAATACTTGGGGCTATTTTGGTCTCCACCCAAACATCTATTTAAACCCCTCTTCATCAAACACTTGCAACATTTCAAGGAAAACCCATTTGATTAAAGCATTTCAAAAAGATGAGTTCAAGAAGCAGAGCATGGATGGTGGCCGGAACTGTTGGATTGGTGGAGGCACTCAAAGATCAAGGGTTTGCACGGTGGAACTTTCTCATCTCCATCACCACCGCCGCATCCTCTGGTTTTCCGGCGTCTTCTTGCTTCTTCTCACCACCTTCATGATGATATGGTAGCACCATTCTTTGAATTTTATAAAAAATACGGTAGCACATTCCGAAACGATACGGTAGCACCGTTAACAAACCTAAAATTTTTACCCTTCGGAGGCGAAATAATACGGTGGCACGTGCCACCCATGGCGACACACTAGGTCCGCCCATGGAGCAAGTAACAATTCACGAAAATAGTTTATATGAAAGTCAAAGAAAGTAATAACAATTGGGTACAGTACACAAAACAGCTTGATACCAAAATGAAAATGTCAAGTAGGTGTGACTTGTGACAAAAAGAATCTTGAACAAGAAAAAAGAATGATGATAAAATGCAAACGCAAAGTCAAAGTCAAAAGCTTGTTAAAATTGAATAGAATAAAGTCAAATAAGAAACACAAACGCTCACTCAAAAAGACATTAAAATATTATAATTACCTTGAGATTTCTGATTCTTTTGCAATAGATTGACCATTCGCTGTAACTTCTTCTTCTTCATCCATATCAGATGCCTCATCATCATCATCTTCAATGTGTCCTCCAATGTCTGCCAAACTAGATCCATCTATATCAGTTAGGTCTAAAGCGCTTCCAGGAGATCCATCTTCAGATCCTAATCATCAAAAAATGGAAGTTAGAATTACTAGAATTACAGTTTTCTAGAAACTGACAGTTAAATTAGGTGCTTCTTACCATCCTCATCTTCTTCAGAAACGCTTAAAGATTCTAAATCATCCTCCTGGTCTTCATCTGTGTCACTTCTACCTTCTTCTGCGCGTTGCCTATATAGGGTGGAAGCAACCAACAAAGGTTAGATTGATATTAGCAGATCTTTGCTCCAGCCATTGGTAGTTGAAATGAATACAATGAGTCTTTATCCCAAAAAAATGCAATGAGTGGTTCAAAAGCAAAAACAAGTCATTTTTTGAACCAATATAGATGCACCCAGAAAGTGTAAGAAGTAAGAGAAAACAAATAAAGTTTTAATAGAAACAGACTACCTCCTCTTGTAAGCATCAGCAATCGATTCACTAGCTGACCCAAGTGTCTTCAACAAACTATCATACATTGATGGTTCTTTGTAAGCAACCACCTCATCTTGTTCCTCTTCTGAAGCTATATTCGAGTGTTCCTCAGATGAAGTGCCTGCAATGCATAAAGCAAGCAATTTAAGTAAACATCACTTCCTCATTTATGCAAAGATCGATAATAGCAATTTGTCATATCTTTATATTACTTATCGATTTTTTTTTTATTAACCTGGATATCTAACCCGCTATGCGAGCCGACTAATCCCAGGACGACCACCTGCTTTGCAGATAGCCTGGAGTCACCGCATTTGAACCTCCATGGCCATAAGGGGATTTTTATTCCTCCTTGGATTTGAACCTGAGACCTCCTGGTACTTTTGACCTTTGGAGCCAAGCTCAAACCAATCAGGCACCACCCTTGTGGTTATTACTTCTCGAATTACCCTCCAGGCATTTGAAACGATTGAACAAAGATTAAAACTAATTACATAAGAGCACTCGCAAAGAGGCATACAAAAACGGCATCCATATTTAATTGTAATGAAGCACCACAGACCTCAAAGTCTCCCATACTTAAACTGTAAAAGAGTTTTATTTAATTCATACTTCAAAATTATCCACTATATATTATAAGTCTTGGTTTTTGCATATGTCTGTGTTGTGATTGTGAATGCATGTTTATACAACTGCAATCGTGGATGTTCATACCTACATTGTTTGCTAGTAATAAAACCGATATCCAACATGCGTTAAAGCTAGATTACACCTAAATGCTTTATAATGCACGCTTAAAACAAAAAAGAAATTTTGTGCTACTATATAGCATAATCGATAACAATTTCATCTTTAGAATGTAACAAGTTAAACCTTAAAATCCCAAAAAAAGATCTTAAAGATAACTACTTCACTTGCCTGAATCACTTGTTGAGGAGGGATTATCTGGAACTTTCTCGTCATCAGCGTGATTTCTTCTAGCACGCTTATTCATAATCCTCCTCGGGGATTCATTTGTTCTTGGACGGCTGAATCCTGTAACATGATTACAAATTAAATCAAATGAAAACAAAAAGGAAACAAAAAGAGAGGTATAAGTCTTACCCCGTTTTATGGCAAACCTTGATTTAGCCATAAGATTTCAACTTAATATTTAGAAGATCGATAAGAGAAACGGGCAGAACACAAGCCTTCTAATCCCAGGAGCCGGACCTAGTTTTTTATACAAATATGTCACATAAACGAGTCTAATTTGCATCAATGTAACAGATATATATAGGTCACATAGGAGTCTAATTTCCTTCCATGTAACAGATATATATATATATATATATATATATATTCAGGGCCGGTCCTGAGATTTTTGGTGCCCACGGCGAAAAGTCCAAATGATGCCCAATTAAAAACATCCAAGTGTGGTAATTTACAATTGTCTAGCTTTCTCCTTCATAGACCGAGAGATCCATTAGTGTTTTTTGTTCATAAGTGTGATCTTATAGTTTAGTGTTTACTTTAAAATAATATATTAAGGTTTCGTTAATCAAGTTGTTATAGCCCTTGCGTTTAAACACCAACTCATCTACTTGTCCAAAACCAAAATAATGAATAATCCTCGACCCATATTTAGGATGCAATTATTTTTAAATTACAGAAATGTCCAGGACCTTACATCTAAAAGGTAACAAGTACCTTCAAACAGGCTTTGCTGCTTACTTCTTGCATTTATTATATTGTATTTCCTGTTGCTAGACAGACATGTAGAATGTTTGAGATGGTAAGAAGATAGAAGCGAAATTCTGTTTCCAATTGATTTATGGTTTATGGCGTTTTTTGAGGCCTACCATTTCCTTCAAAGTTGATTCTTTGTGTAAATGATGTCAGCATGATCAAGATTAGCACACAACACAGTTATCTGCTTTCTCGGCCACATTTACAAATTCTGTTTAGTGCAGGGAGAGTTCTTTTAAGTGGATGACTGGTCTGTTGGGGGGCATGTATGTAAGTTCTTGTGATTGAGTATTTGAGTGGCTTGCTCTCAAGTCAATCTAGTTTTTGTTGATTAAGGGCTTGTTTGTTAGCAGCTTAATGAGCAGCTTATTGGGTCAGCTATATATGACGGTTTGGTAGTGGCTTAATGATATTGAAAGTGGCTTATTCAATAAGCTTTTAGGGGGAGCTTTATGCAGAAAGCCAAGTTGTTTCCAAACCTGCCCCTCCCAGTTAAAAAGCATGCTTCTTTCATCTACGAAAAAACCCCTCCCAAACAAAAACCTTCCAATATATACAAGTAGATTAATCCAGGCAAACAGTTTTATCCATACAAGACTTGATGGAAAACCAACCAAACAGCCCCTAAGTGAATATACGCTAAGGTGGAGTTTGTTCATTGTTGACAGTATTTCCTGTAAAATTGGAGCTGTTCCAAGTTGAAACAGGTAGTGGGTCTCTGAAGGACCTATTAAGTGTTGCATAGGTATATCTATGCTTCAAATAGCTTGTATAAAAGAGCATGTAGTCTACTTGGTGGTGTGCATGTAAACTAACTAGGTGCAAGTAGTCTCACCTCTCGACTACTGTGAAGCGTACAAATGAGMCAACAGTTGTACTTATTTTTGTGCCTGATAACTTCCTTTTTCTCCCAATCTTCCTCATTTGGGTTCTCAACCTACATTTCCAGATTTCCTTGAATGTTTGGATTGTGGTGATTGGCTACCTAAACAAAAATAATTTGAATCTAGTTACAAGAAGTTTACTTGCTTTATGATGTTAAACTACTGTTTTCTTACTTGAATCTAGTTACAAGAAGTTTACTTGATTTATGATGTTAAACTACCGTTTTCTTACTTGAATTAGGCATACATGATACATTAACATTATACATACGGACTAACAGACATACAGTGAAGTGAATCAAGTGATACAGTAACAAGAATTAGAAACATAAATGACAAACCATAAAGGACCAATTTCACAGCTTCATACTTAGGCTTTGCAATCAAACAAGAATTAGAAACATAAAAAATAAAATAAGTAACAGACATACAGTGAATTATACATACATCTTTAACAGACATACAGTGAAGGACTGAAGTGAATCAAGTGATACAGTAAGTAAGTAACAAGAATTAGAAACATAAATGACAAACCACAAAGGACCAATTTCATAGCTTCATACTTAGGTTTTGCAATCAAACAAGATTAGAAACATAAAAAATAAAATAAGTAAAGTAAATAACCCCAAGTCCCTAACCTCACAAGTCACAACTCACAAGAGTCAATATGCGAGAGCGAGAGGGCGAGAGCGAGAGCGAGAGGGCGAGAGCGAGAGGGCGAGAGCCGGTCGGCCGTCGGCGGTCGATAGTCGAATTCAACTGCTGTATAGAAGTTTTGTTCACTGGTTAAAGAGATGGTAGAAATTTAGAAGAAGAAAGCCGCAAGACAGACAAGGGCCGTCTGTGTTTGATGTTTGCATAAACCCTATCAAATCCCCATCAAATCCCCACCAACTTATTAAAATTACTTTTTTTTACAAATTAACAGGAAATATCTTATTATACAATATACATGGTTTGATTTGATGGTATGGATAACTGATGCATAACGTTTAGCGGTGTTTGGAATGAATTATAAAAATAATTTATTGCCTTATTTCGGTATGATATCGGTAATAAATATTTTTAAATATTTGGATAAACAACTTATACCGATGTCAAATCGGTAATAAGAAGTTTTTGAAGAAGTTAAACCCTTCTGACTTATAATAAATTGACTAGAAGGGTTCTCGCACAATGCAGCGAGATACATCTCGATTTTAGTGTTTTGTTCTTTTTTTGTTTCAGTCGATGTTATAATACGGTTCTATGTGGTTTTGAGAAAACAATAATGTTTTTAGTTTTAAATAAAATATAAATATGAAGATTCATAAAAAATTGAAAAAAAATATTGATATTAGTATCAAACTAACTGTTTAGAATTTCTCATTTTTTATTTTTTGTTTAATAATATAATTTTTATAAAGATAATAATTAAATATTTTGTTATAGCACAATGATTATCTTAATTATGGTTTAGATTTTTTATATTTAAAATGAGATAATTATTCTCTATTTTATTATGTTTATCTGCAGCTAGTTACACGAATTTAAATATAAAGCTTTAATAAATTGTACTTATGCACAATTTACTTGTAATTTTGAATTTTAAGTAATATGCATTAATAAACAGTATTTTATGCATAAAAAATAGTTTTTAAAAGTTTTGTCAAATGGTTTATAATATAGTATAGATAAATGATTTTGTAAAAATGTATAAGTTGTTTCAAATAAGCAATCTCAAACACCCCTTAATATGTATTTTTGAATGAATATTTTCTTGAGTTCTTTTTTAGTAATTCGTACATTAATTTTCTTTCACACTTTACATTAATAAAATAATTATTATATATTTTTATTAATCGGCTTGTTATTTAATAGTGGATTTTGTTAAAATATATTAGTCTTATGTAATCTAAAATTAGAGTTATAGTTTTATATTAATTAGAAGGGTATTTGTGCAATGCAGCAAGATATATTTCGATTTTAATGTTTCGTTTTATTTTGTTCTCTGGCGATGTTATAATATGGTTTTATGTGGCTTTGAGAAAACAATAATGTTTTTTTTTAAATATATCATAAAATTTTGAAAAAAAAATATTAATATTAATATTAATATAAAAATAACTATTCACTACAACAAAAAGGGGTTTATAGGACACTTTTTGGGACACTTTTCGAAAACCGTCCTTTAAAAAGGCTAATACGACACATTATTTTATGAGTCTTATTTGACTTAATCTTATAGGACTCTTACTTTTGATGTCTTAGTAACATATCTTGACGTCCTATCATGTAATCTAATGCGACACTTTTGAATGTCATATTATTTTATGATCTAATATGACACTTTTAAGTGTCGTATTAATTTAAAGACCAATATCTTATTTTAAATGTTAATATGACCCTTTCAATTATCCTATTTTTTTTAAAAGCTAATACAACACGGTTGGATGTCCTATTAGAGATTAAGAGCTAATAGGACACTTTTAAGTGTCCATTAAAGTTTAAAATAATATGAATATAATTATATATTTAGAAATATATTTTTGTCTTTTAAAGTCTTAAACTCTTATGATTTATATAAAATTATAAACTACTTAACTTAAAACAAAAACTCTGGGCCAAATACTTGTTGCAGCAAAAATGGACTTGATGGACCATAAAATACTTGTTAAAACAACTTTACTATTTTCATTTTGAAAGCCCAAATACTTGATAAGCAAAAACAGCCCAAATACTGAATTCCGGTTGCGACTTGCGATTGCGACCATCATCGAGATAGAATCCGGTTGCGACTTGCGATCATCATCGAGAATAGAATCCGTTTGCGATCGAAACATCTAAACCCTGAGAATCTCAAAGCCTGGTTGTTTGCGATCGACTCCTCTGCACTGTTTGAGATCCGTCAAGCCCTCGGTCTTTGAAGCCCTAGTTGTTCGTCAAAGTCTGAGAGAGTTTTCGGTTGCAACATTAACGGTAACAAAATCAAACCGACTAGTATTTTTTCAAACTTAAATTTGTAGTGCACTTATGTATTTTTATGTTAATTGTGTTAATATGTAGTAATTATGTTAATTGTGTTAATATATAGTAATTATGTTAATTGTGTTAATATGTAGTAATTATGTTAATTGTGTTAATATGTAGTAATTATGTTAATTGTGTTAATATGTAGTAACACTGATATCTTAGTATTGAGTTGAAAGTGTGCTTCGATAAGAGTAGCTAACAGGAGGTTATGTATTTTTATCTTCTTAAGAATCTCTTATCTGTGCTGAAAAAAGTGGCTGCTTTATTTGTAAATTTTAGTCAGTTAAAATTGGTGCACATCATGACTACCACATGTGTCGATCGTGTATAGACAAATACTTTCATGGAGCTTGTGAATTTTAGCCATGATAGATATAGAAACAGTAGCCATGATAGTAGACTGTATGGTTCAAACTTATGGATCAATACAGTAGCCATGATAGATATAGAAACAGTCACATGTATATAGATATAGAAACAGTTACATGGCTGTGTGCACAGTAAATTGTTTACACAGTTGTGTGCACAGTAAACTTATGGTTCAAACAGTCACATGTATAGGGCCGCTGCAGAACTCATACAGTTTGCCACCATTAGAGAAGATGATAAGAGCAACTTCAGAACTCATACAACTTATAGTTTATTGCCATCAATATAAATAGTTATTGGGAGTATAGCAACATTGGCCAATAGTTTATGATGAAAATTATATGGTTTTAATATTCTTGATCATCACCTGGTGGTATGTTTGGAATTGTAAAGAGATATGTTACCATATTTCGATGCACAATGAATTCTTCCTTTATAAAATTGATTGTCTGTTTTATCTTCAAGTTCTTTGAATAATGCATATATGTTATGTTGTTAGTTTTGTCATATGATGGCTGCCATACTGTAATAGAAATAGAGACTTAACATATAAGTAGTGGAACAAACACAACAAATCATGTTATGTTGAAGCATCTAATTTTATGACCCATTAACCAAGTTTCAAAGCTCTGAATCCTTTCTCTTGGTTTTCCTCATTTTGCAAACTTCTTTAAATGCTTATCATCAATAGTATATATATTACTAAATAATATATATATGTATCTTGTTATCTTAGTAACTACTACTAGTGATGAAATGGGTTTTTTTATTTTTAAAGGAAAACAGAATCACTGAAGCTTACTAGGTCTGACTTCAACATAACCCCATTGTTCTGATCCATCTGGGTCCCTGCAGCCATGGCCAATCTTCCATGGAAAATTGGGAGAAAGAATAGCACAGCTGAAACAAGAAACAAAGCCACAAAATGGGATCTTCCCATTTCAAGAAAAGCTGAAAAGAATCACAAACTCAATTCCACCCACTTGTTAGAAAGCAGATTTCAGAGACGAACTGATCTCTTTATTTATATATATAACACAAGAAAAG